CTCGGTCACGGGTGTCGAGCCGTAGTCATAACTTCTAGACCCTTCAGAAACGTTATTAAAAATAATCGAGTCTACCTGTCACCGCGTTAGGACTTTCAGATCCTGAAGTGGCATTTCTAAAGCCAGTCGAGTAGACGGCGCCGTTTATACGCGGCCCTGTCACCCGATAGGAAAGTAATGAAAGTAATGAAAGTAATCGTCCACATCGGGAACTTTTATTCCCGGCCGGCACGCGACTATTACCGGCGCAATAAGTGCACTATAATGTTGCACGCGTCGCGGGATGCAGGGCGGGCGTTATCGAATTTCGATTTGTCTCGAGAGCGACCCGTCGGAATTGATAAGTATTAATCGATACGAGCCTGGAGTTGACGAAGCCCGATGGGCCGCCATTAGTTCGGCTCCGGGGGGAATTTTCATTTCTCCGGGTTTTCGAGTGACGTGCCTATCTGGACCCCCCTCAGAAACAACGGACGAAAAACGGGAAAGACGGAAAGCCGAGTTTTCCCAAAAAACGGGGAAACAAATGGAAGCGATTTGAATACCCTGGCGCGGGGGTCGGACAGGTTTCCAATTTCGCAAATTCATGACCCGCGGAAATTTCAGACGTCGAGGAGACGTCTGACTGGTGTCAATAAAACAGAGCACGGAAGAGGAAAGTCGATGCGAGGCGGAAGAGGAGAGGACGAGCTGGACCAATCGAGAGCCTGGAAAGCGTCCTTTAATTAATTCCTCTCGTCTTGTCCTGCCAGGAAATTCCGAACGTAAAATACTCGCTGACCCTGAAAACTCGGCGATTCGTGTTTCGCAAGAATAATATTCATTTTAATTCCTTCTTAATCGTTTAATTAATTAGAGTGCAGTGAGTCGGTAAGGGAGAAGCACTGGCTTGGACGAAAGGATTGCCCGAGGTGAGTGCGACTACGTTAATTAATTCAAAATTACGTTTAAAAATGTAAATTAATTTAAATCACGTTTTCTTTGGTTTCAAAAATTCAGGTACGTCGAGGAGATACATTTTTTACGAGTACGCATGCAGCTTGCCCCGAAAAGGAAGCAGAATTACGACAGAGGGTGGAGGACGCTTTCTTCGAAAAACGGGAGCAGAAGGGAAGAAGGAACTGGAAGAACGGAAGACTGCAGATTGAACTTAACTGGGGTCAAATTGACTCTAGTAGGGAGTCCCTGCATTCAATATGGCGACTTCCTAATAGAGTCAGGCTGACTCCTTTTAAGACGTTCAACGGCCAACTTTATGATCTATTTAAGTATAATACCTGCGCGATACAGCGCACCTCGTGCCTCAACTATTAAAACCTGCTTCATTTTGCATTACTCGCAAATAAACGTCCCAGGCCGTAATTAATGGGCGCAGTTAATTCTTCGCCTCGAATAAGCGATTGCCATTTTTAATCTACCTCGCTCTAGACTAGGGCGATAAATTTGTGACGTATGAATTTAGAAATTTTGTAAAATATCATGTTTCCTCGTAAATATAGGTGACGGCTTCCCGATTAACTGGTTGCTTTTAATGCCTTTCTCCCACCAGAACTTGCCTGGGAAAAAGAATTCGCGATAAAACTTGGCAAATGAATTTGGGCCAGCGGCGTTCCTTCCACGTCGAAATTTGAGAGGCATTCGCTGACGAGGCCGAAAATCGCCAAGTTGGCTGCAATCGAAGCCGAGTGCACGCACACGCGAAAAACGCACTCGGGGCTCGAGCAGGACGGCCTGCTTTTAGGAGGGGCATTTTCCAAAATGCAAAGAACCGGTGCACGCCCTGCACTTACGGCCGAGCGTTTCAAATCGAGCGGATTAATTCATGGACCCTTTGGAAATTTTCAACGAGGGCTCCGAGGTCGATTTTTCGATGGCTTCGATGCACGGCGCGATACATCGCATGCAAGTTGCGCGCCCCCCGCGTTCCCGAAGCACGGAGACGAGTTAAATGATTTTTTCATCGGGTAATCAGGATTCAAATTGAAACGCAACTTCTGCCTCCGGGGCCGAAACGGGCGAGACGGGCAATTTGCGAAATAACCTCGGTGCGTTATGCCACGCGTTGGCCCTAACAATCGCGCTGATTGCAAAGGGAGAAATGCACGCGGATGCTAATGAAAAGTGTACGTCGACGCAATATACTCGTCTGCAATGTCGGAGTGGAAAGTGCAGCTTTAACGAATTTTCCAGCCCCCCTTTCCCGGCAAAAAAAAGAGTGACCCGAAAAACTCGGAAAATTCCCCAAAATTTTTGCCCACCGCATTTCGACTCCGAATGCTCCGCGATAAATTGCACCCTGCACGGGAACGATACCCTACTTGCGTGGGGAAGTCGTTATCGTCCCTCGTATCAATGAAGAAGGAAATGAATACACATGGGTTCGCAAAGAAAAATGTCAGCCTACACGGCAATTGCGGACTTCTTTGTCGGAAAGGGAAGTCCTTATTTTTTATATTTATAAGTGCATATTTTTTCCCGCGACTTCGGGGCCGGAAACAAACGACGACGGAACCGGAAGGAAATCCGTTTGTTATGCACTCCGGCATCGCCGTAATGGCCGAGGGATGCCGTTTGGTGGAAAAATATCGCTCCGTCTTGGTCCCAGCCTCCATTGGAGGTCAGCCATGCGCGATGGACCCGAGATCGTATGCCGACTGGTTTTTCACAGAAGAGAGTCCGTCGCCGTTTGTCGGTCGTTACACGAGCCGTGTATCGTCTTCGCTTTTCCAGGGGGCGTCTTCCCCCGAGCGCGCTCGCTCATCCTCCGGCGGGACAAAAGAAATGGAATAACGAAGCGCTTTGAGAACCCCGATGTCGCGAGTCGGGCTCCTCGGGGCGGAGAAAAGAGGAAAAATATTCACACCGGGGGTTGAGGGAATTTGCAAAATGATCCCCGAGCCAGGAGGGGTAAATCAGCGGCCTCGGACCCGACCCTCGAACAGGGAGGGACAAGTGCATCCCTTGTCTACGCACGGATATGCGCGGATATGCGCGACTCGAGGAGCGGCATTAATTAGCGTCAAGCTCAGCGACATCACTTTGACGTCGCATGAGCTATGACCTCGTTTACGCTCGCACTATTTGTCTCCTTGACGCGCTCGGTTACGCGTAAGCGAGTTATGCGAAATGTGCGTGCAAACGCGACTCGCGAGAGAGGAGAGAAGCCCTTCGCCGATGGGGATGCAAGGATGCCACCTGAATTCTTTTCACCTTTTGTTTCCACTGGGGAGACGAAAACGACGGATTTACGAACTCGTCCGGGCCGATCGATCTCCGTATAGCCGGCGTCGTTAAAGGCGCAGTCGTTGCAGGTATCGAGGCCGTTAAGGGCGAATGGAGAACCTACGATCGCGGGATTAAGGGATGACCGACGCGTCCCGAACGAGGTCCTGCAGGTGCATCGACACGACTCGCGAGGGCGTCGCGCCGCATCCACTGTTATACCGAGTCCCGAAGAGCCCTGACGAGAGGCCGACGGGAGGGTCCCTGCAATTTAATCTGTATCTAGTTATGGCATTATCACGAGGCCCGATAAACTATAAACCACGCTCGACGCGTACTTTATGGACGCGCAATCCTTCGGAAATGGACCAGATGCGTTTAATTTAGCGCCCAGCCGCGGGTTATTGCGCCCCGTACGTCTTCGGCTGTAACGCGCGGACCGACTGCATTTACAGGACTAATTTCACGGAGACCCCGACTGTAAATCGAGACTACTCGACTATTTGTCCCGCGAGGTACTACAAGGAGCCGGGGTGGAGCGAACCTCGATTTACAATTATACAGAGATTTTTCAAAACTAACCAATTAAAATTCGCAAAGTACGAAAATTCCGGTAAAAAGGAAACTCGTAAAATGAGAACAGGCCGCCACTCGAGCGCCCTCCTTTTTGACGTACGTCGAGGAGATCTCCGCGAAAAATCGAGACTCGATCCGGCGTTCGAGGATCCCGATAATGTGCAGTTCTGGCCAGTAATCGGTGATTACCCGTCCCGGGGGAAAATCAAATGTCCAGTAACGAGGAAAAGAGAGCCTCGAGCAAGATGAGAGCGAGCGGAGGTGCTCGGGAATTCTCTCTGTCCGCCGATCCGCGGAATTACGAAAGTCCATTAATGGCCGGCACGGTCAGCTCATTTCCGGGCTTAATAACTTATATGGAAGCACCGGCTCGTAAGTGGATTCGCCACCCTTGGCGTCACCACTTCCTGTCGAGCCTAGGACCGACTCCTGCAATTTTGGAAATTAAATCCCTGGGTTTAAATTTTCCTGCGAAAAACAATTCCCCCCGCGAGAGCGCGCCGAATAAGCGCAATGCAAACACAGCGAAGCGTAACTACCCTGCGAGGAAAAAAAAAATCACCCTCTCTCCTAGTCAATTTTCCCCAATCGATCTCACCGGATGTTGATCTCTGCAGGATCCTGCTGCACTTAGTTCAATGCATCTCCGAGTGAATACGCAATCTGCGTGATTCGGTCGCTAACAACCCCCCAATGGCGGTAATTGCGCAAATTTCGTTCGATACGTGCGCTATCGATGGATCGACGGTTCGCCGATATTCATTAATCTCGAGTTTCTTATTCCGCGGTTAATTTAATTCGGGTTTAATAGAGAGCAATCGAAGAGGGTCTCGTTGATTCGGTGGCCCGATCGATGGATCTTGATAGCCGCGAGATCGAATCTTCCGTAACTGCTGGTCTAATTGATTCCTCCGCCGTGGAGCGTCATCCATCTAAATTACGGTGTTTAAGCTAGTCTTTTTTTACGACACGTGATACGATCGTATGTCAGTCCAGGTATTCTTTTAACGATCGCCCGGCACGCTGCTTACTTAGCACTTCTTCGTCGATCTACTCCACCCGCTCTTGAAACGCTTCCGAGGCCGATAAATTAAACGGTGATTTCCATGGGAGAGCGGAATTAAAAATCGACAAGACCATTAAAAATTGACGAAACGAAAAATTCCGGACTGACTTGGGATATTTATTTTTTTCAATTCCAGTATAACATAAAGAAGCGGGAGGAGGTGCAGGAAATTCCCCAAGAAGAGCCCAACCCTTTGATGCGCAAGAAGAAGACCCCCGAAGAGCTGGCGGCAGAAGCCGAAGCGGAAGACGAGGACGAGTTCACCAGTAAGCCTCGTTCCCTGTCTTATCACTATTTCCTCGACCCTGAAATCGGGTCGTTTTGATCCAACGCGGGACGATAAATGCATAAAAAATATGTCTCTGTTAAAAATCGGTTGACGGATCACGCGATGTCTGACTGTTGCAGAGCTGAAGAACACGATAGAGACGCAGGTGAACGAGATCAAGACGCAGATCGAAAGTAAATGCAGCCTCCAATGAGTCCATGGCATCGTGCGGTCCACGAGAACGGCACGGTGCGAGATGGCGTTCCCGTTCGCCTACGAGTCCTCCCCAAGGCCAGGCGATGGCCCCAGGTTAGCCGAGGTCGAGGTCAAGGCCGCCGAGTGGACCGGCCGTGCCGTTCCGGTACCGGAAGTGCCGACGACCGTTTAGCCACCGACGGTGAAGGAGTCGAAGAGGACCAGCGGAGGAAGAGAGAGGGACTCGACCTCGACCCAAAGCCAATCCGATCGAAGAATTTCAAGCCGGACATCTGGAAAGAAAATCCCCGAAGAAGATGCCGAGGAAGAGGCAAGACCCCCTCCTATTTCCAGCGGCAACGAAACGAGGAAGAGGACGGTCGAGGTCGGGGAGTACCCTTCTCTCCTCTCTCGACAAGGAGATGAGCGGGAGGACCTCGTACAGCGTCGAGCTCAGAGACACTTTTCGGGGCTCGCAGGGGGGACGGGGGACGGGNCGTTGCCTAATTCGGGGTTCCCATGGGGAGGGTACCCCCCCTTCGGCGATTTGATTAATTGAAAATCTCGTTAGCGGTATTATGGGACGGGGGATCGGGGGGAGGGTACATGGGCGGAAGTACTCGAGGCCAAGGAAGAAGAAGTACGTAGCCCTAAGCTCGTAGTTAAGTTAACGACTAGCGGTCAACCTGCCCGGTAGCTGGGGGTTAACGGTAGCTGCTAGGGAACCGGAGAAGCGACGCGGCTGTTTCAATAATAACGATTAGCGGCGAGCCAGTTATCGATATTTGTATTTAGCGACGTACAAGCGCCACGAGAGAGCTCGAGGACTCGGGCCGACGCGGCAGGGTGGCGGGTGAGACGAGGAAGTCCACGAAGAGAATCCCGAAGAGGATCCCGAGACGGGACGTGCTCTCCGTTCGTCCGACCTCGACGTACCTCGAGAACGCGACCCGAGGCGAGACCGAATCGATCGGTGACGTACCTCGCCTTTCAAATTAACCTTAAAAGGGAGGTATTTCAAAAATTCGGCGAGGTTTCCACCCCGAAGAGGAAGCGGACGCGTCGATCTCTCGAGGTGCACGCGTCGATGCGTTTGTTGAAGTTATTATAGTTTAATGTTGAATCCCGACGCGTGGGCCGCGGAGGCGGACACGGACGGAGACGACGAACTGCCGGCAGGTAATGCATGCCTTATATATCTTACAATATACTAATGATACATAAATATATATATACACCCAGGTACATTATTCGCGTTACACCGCGTGCGTGGTACATAGGTACGAGCTGCCTGCCGGGGCGACAGTCGGAAAGAGGAAGCGCCGCGGCGACTACTCCCTTCTCCGAGGTAGGGAAATCATTCGGCGAACCTCCCGTCGAGAACGCCTCCGAAGACCGTCGCAAAACCCGCGAGCAATAGGAAGAAGGTCGGGTAAATTCGGCAACGTCCCGGAGGACCTCCGCGCGGCCGCCATCTCGGAGAACGCTCGGTCCGCGAATCGCGACTCGACTCGACCCGACTAAAATCTACCTATAAATCGGCGCTGCTTATTTTACAATGAAACCCCGCAAAATCAGCTCGTCTACCGAAGCTTTAGCTAAGATTCGTAAGAGCCCGCGCATCGATTCGACCAAATTTTGATAAATCGACGTAAGGCGTTCGCGAAGTCAACGAAAGTTAGGTCGGCGTCGCTTCGCGACTCGCGGGCCGCAATCGAAGACAATTTCCACTTGGCCGTTTATCCGAGGGGGAATTAGCCAAATTCACCGAAATTTCGAAATTGCGTTCCCGGAGGAATTCTTCGGGGACGATTAGCTAAATGCGGCAGGAAAGTAGGAAAGAAAAAAGACTTAGGAAAAGTCGTGTGATATTTACGACGGAGGTAGTCGCGACCGTAATGACGCCGGGGGGAGGGGAGGAGTACCGTAAAGGTGGGTTCATACGTATGTACGTACTTACGTATACGTATAGATACACTTTACGAGGTGTAGCGTAGCAGCGTGCGTTAAATAAAGAGTAACGATACGGTACTTACGACGTGTAAGACGATACTAGTATTTTGCGTATATCTATATAGAAGGCAACCGACGAGAAAAAGTGAAACTAAAAATGGCGGTCGGGAGAGAGGAGTCAAACAGAAAACAAAAATGGCGGATTGAGCGTCTAAGGCCGTTTCTCTACGGGCGATGAAACGATACAAAGTGTATTTTTTTATTTTCGACGTCCCTTCCGAGATCTCGGACGCGTCTCTCTGCCGAACGACGTCGCGTCGATCGAAACGCGGATTTCCCGAGTCTGAAAGTGCGGTTCAGAAATGGAAGGAAATAAGGAGAAAACGGCTCAGTCGACCCACACAACGCGCATACGCGATTTTGATTTATTCTTCTCTCGCGGCTGCATCCATTAAATCCGCACCCTCCACTTTGGCGTTCACTGAATTTGTATAAATCTTGTTACGTAGGTGTAAGTTTTTACCTCGGCGTTCCGACGAATTGGCCCCGACGTGGACGCTTTTCCCGGAGCCGCTTCAGCTTCTCTTTCGGTGCGCGTCGGAACGGAATAACGCAAAATGGCGTATGAGGATTCGCATTTCCGTTGAAGAAGGCTTCGGTCTCCGATCTCGAACCGAATCTCGCTCTTTGATAGAGAGATCGACCAACTTTTCGTATCTACGTCCAGCTCGGTACCCGGGTTCCCTTTTTCGCCTCCATTTTCCTCGATTTTCCTCGGATTACCGGACCGCTTCTCTCCGAGGATTTCGAAATTTCGGGGAGAGGAACCATTTCCTGGAATTTGCAAAGTCGAGGGGATCCCCTCGCTCGGTAATAAACGAGGCGGGCTTAAAACTCGAAGCTCGAGGAGCGGAAGAGGAACGACTCGCTATTCGTCCGGACTTATGCCGATCTTCTGCGGTTGATAAGTTTCGAGCTTTCGGCCGGAGGGGGGAACTTTCTCGTAAAACTTGGCCCGAGATCGCAAATCTGCCTGACAGTTGGAGGAAGATCGAGGACCCCCGCGAATCTCGGATCTCGGGAAATGGCGTCGCCTGTTCCTCGAAAATCGCCCCTTCGCGCCTCGAAATTGCTACTCTCGAGAACATTTTCGCAAATCCTGCCGACCGATCAATTTCCCCCTCGGCCCTGAGTCGCTCGAATAAAACGACCACACTTTTTCCTGTCGACTTTGGATCGACGCGAGGCATCCGCTCCGCCTCGAAATTCTTCGCAAACGTCGGCGATGCTATTTTTCCCGAAAAAATGTCCCTCTCCCGTTCGAGCTTTCTCAGAGATGAAGTTCGGCCACTCCCTCCTGTTCCCAAAATCTGTTTCCCTTCCTCTTAAATCGTTGTCTTCTCTCGCACTTTTCCTCCCCTCCGACTCCGACCGTTTGCCAAAAAAGGAGGACAACGGGGAAACTTTCCCCGTCTCGTTGGGAATACTTTCGAATTCGAGTCGCAACTCCGAAAACTTTCGGGGCTTACGGATTATCCAGCCGAGCTTCGGCTCGGGACGTCGAGTCGGGGGAGACTCCATTGCACGTTTCCCAAACAAAACTTCTGACTTTTGCATCCGAGAAATACCTAAAAGGAAGCTGCAAGAGCTGCCGGTGAATCTCTAATTTCCAAGAATCAAGAGAAAATTCTAAATCCTAGCGAGAACGCAGAGGAAAAAAATGGCGAAAAAGGGACCCTTGAAAGAGGAACAATCGAGGTGTAGGTCGAAGTAGGGACGTGTAGCAAAAATATATACGTGGCAAGGCTAAACTTTTCCAAAAGTCGTAATCGGTTTCCGTATTCTGTCGTTCCTCGATGTTGCATGCCTGTCTGCCTGTCTGTCCGTCGTCGTTGTTGGCTGCTCTTCTTCGTTGCGGCTTCTCTGTCGCGAAAGCTCGGCCGTCACCATCTTCGAAAGTTATCCGCGAATCGCGCCCTGCGAGCGAGAATCTGTATATATATTTTAATCGAAAGCGACAAATGAAAGATGAGAAGGACAAAATTCCGAGGAATCTGGGCACCTTCGGATAACTTCCGAAAACGATTCGGAGAGCCGAGTCGCGCTCTTTCTCTCTATATGATCAATTTTCTACTATAAGAACGACTTAGATCGAGACGCTTTAACCGTTCCCGAAGTCCTCTTCGAGATTTCCTCGAAATCTCGAAGGACCTTCTCCCTTCGTCCTTCTACGTGAAACGTTCTTCCTTTTCCGTCCACGTACCAGCGGAAGCTTCGCCTACAAAAGTCGATCCGATCCCTCGACTTGGCGACGGTCGATTTCGAGGTCGACACAAGTAAGCTCGAAGATTCGCGTCCCAAAACTGAGTAAATCCACATTTTACAACAAAAGGGATATCAAAGTGGTGGGAACTTAATTTCTCGTAGCGAAAGAAAAATAGGATCAAAGTTATAAAAATTGAATTCTTATTTTTTTCCATCAATAATCGAGAAATATCTCGATTTTGGGACCGAGTCTCGAGGTCGCTCCGAAAATGCCCCCCGAGCAGAGATAACCTTATCGATATTCTATTACCTAAAATCCCAATTGCCGAGCTCAGCTCCCCGAAAGTACCCTCTGGGTTAATTATTTCAAACGGTCGGATTGTAATTAAGCGGGGTAACTCCGAGAAAAGTAATTCGAGGATTATCCGCGCAGCGGAAGAGCGAACGGGTCTCCTCGACGTCTCCATCCGAGAGTCTTGGACGAATCCGAAAAGAAGATGAACTCGAAGTCAATTACTTAATTACCCGATGTACATTGAATTAGGCGAGAACGAATCGTTCGACCAAGAGAGGCGGGCAGGAGGCAGCGATTTTGGCCGGATTCCCCGAAAATTCGGGATCGCGGGACACGCGTCGAAGAGGAGGAAGAGAAGGAGGAATCAAAGCGAACGGGATTTTCGGGGCTGGAATTTCCCGAGCTGCGAGAGCGGGCCGAAATTCAATTCGGGGACGTGTCCAAGGAAAACAGAACAAAAGGGGGAAATGGATTCGGCCAGTCTCGCTCGTCTCCAATCCCGGGAAGTAATGGTCTTCAGCCTTTGTTGGACATTGTTACTCCCTGATTTCCGGTTACTCTCTCGATTTCGATCAACCCTTTATTTGCCGAGTCCGAGCGGACCGCGGATTCGCCGGAAAATAAAAGGAGGAAAAGGGAAAAAGGGGAAAACCACCAATGCTCGTGCTTTTCGACTCCGCGCGGAAACGTCGCAGGGTAATTCGACGGCCCGAAACCCGACGAAAGGGCGGAAAAAGCGGGTAAAGGGTTGATCGGTCGACAACTTGTATATTTGTCTTTTTTCCTCCTCTGGATTCGCACCTTCGTCGTTTCTACGTGCATGATTAGCGCACTTAACGATAGAGCCTCGTAGCACCGTTCTCGCGGTATTACTCCTATTAGCGACCGCGATCGACTTTTTGGGGGTGGTTCGCCCCCATGGAGAAAATTT